AATGGGGGTGTTGGTGGGGTTGTTGGGGGTTATGGACTCCTCCCCCAAAAAATAAACTGAAAAATATATATATTATATATACATTTATAATTTTAATAAATAATTATTATTATTCACTAGGCTACCAGCCGGGCCGCCTGGGTCACCCTGTTTTCCCGGGCGGCCCGACCGTGCAAGGACCAGGGAAGGTCCCAGCAAAAAAAAAAAAAAAAAACCCGAAAAAAAACTATGTTACGACAGTTATGCAGAAAAAAAAAAAACTGAACAACGTTTCATTTGTTTTTGGCCTGGCCGGGCAAGTGGTCCCGGGCCACTCTGGTAGCCTAATAATTATTCTGATTTTTTTTTTTTTTTTTTTTTTCGCGGGGTGCCGACGACTGCTGACTGGTAGGTGCCGACCAGCCGACCAGTCTGCTGGTCGGCATCCGACCAATCAAGGGGTGCCGACGGTCGGCCTGTGCAACTCTGATCTGAACGGTATGTCAGGGTGCAGGTGGCTTTGAGCAACTGTGTAGAGACGCAAAGCAACCGGCTGCAGCAGAAGGTGATTCAGCAAATTTCAAGGTGGGGTCCTGCCCCCCCCCCCCTCCCCCCCTTCTTGCTTTTGTAAGGCCTTGGCTTTGAAAGTCGCCCTGTTCTCAATTCTCAGCAAGCAATTGCTCTAGCAGGTAAGGAGTATGGTGGACTGTGGCACAGACTCCTGGCGGCCATAGCCAAGTGCAGAAAAGTAGAAGTTTATCATTACCCCACAAAAAACTGCATACACCTGATTCGCATGACCACACAAAGGAGCTACATGTGCTGCAAAGCCTTTTTGTGGAAAACCATTTGGAAAAAAAGAAGGTGGTTTCGTCACGAAGGTTGCCTGGGGCACGGTCTGCTTTCCAAGGATGCAAGGGTTGGGTATGCTTGATCCTGCTAAACAGAATCTGGCAACATTTGGCCAGTGGTTAGTGAAGCCCATATTATCTCAGAATAAAGATCATTGGATCTTGATGGCAGAAATGATCCTGGCAGCTGAATGGGACCTCTCCGGATTTGATGACGTTTGGCTCTGTTGTATGCTGGGCCCATTTCTCAGGCGGCAGACTAAGTCAACCTTTTGGCAGGGAGTGCTGTAGGCCTGGAGGAAGACCAAAAGGCACCTTTCACCTCAACCAGCCATGAAAGAGGAGGTACTAAACCAACCAGCCACTGTTTGATAATCCGTTTATCCGGGACGGAAATGGCTTCACATTCGCTGCAGATACCAGTCTGGGATCCTTCGGTAGAGCATGGATTCAGAGGGGGATCCTAAGAGTTGGAGATGTGGACAAATTTGGTGTGGTTTTATGGAAATTCAATGTATAGTGCTCGTGTCCGCCAGTTAAAGCGCCAGTACTTCCGAGAGGACAAATTTGGTGTGGTTTTATGGAAAGTTTCTTTAAACCGCCAGTACCTATCCCAGCTATCGTGCTCGTGCCTGCCAGTTAAAGCGTCAGTACTTCCGAGGCACTTTTCTCTAGGACCGGAAACGCGCTGCGCACCAAAAACACATGAACCGGGGCGGGTATCTGCTCCTTTTGAAAGGCGGTTAACGGAGGCCTCAATTTTCAGACAACTTCTCATGCCATTTATAACAAAACTCAAGGGCCCCTGTTAACCACTTGTGCAGCTTTGTACTCCTTTTGGCTGGTGCTGCCAGAAATTTTGCTCCGGAGGCCGAGCCCCGAAAGCTGCAGCGTGTTAACGCCCTGGACGAAAAATAAATAGTGGGGCCATGTACTGGTGGTTTAATATGGGTCCGTGGAAAGGCTCAGGCTATCTGACCATCATGGCCGGCAGCGCCCAATAGGCTTGTCCCTGTGACCGTTTGGAATGTGAGGGACGGGCAGAAATGCGCATCGGGGAGAAACTTCGAAAGAGAGGCTGGGAGGTACAGGTGGTAGTCAACAAGAGCGATGGGAGGGTGTTTTACTCATAAATTCTAGGCTTTTGAACAGTCAAACCTCCTCTAGGGAGTAATCAATGCTCTCCAAGGCTCCTCCTGCCGTACACGCAGGGGCATGAGAGCGGGTACTATTGTAATCTTGGCTTGCCGTGGGAAAGGAGCAGCAGACTGACGCTCCCCGTAATAGAACGGAGCCTTGACCATAAGGCTGCATCTTTTCAAAGAAAAAGAATAAAGGAGACACGGTGTTCAAAAAAAAAGAATAAAGGGAAAAGGTGTTGGCAACCCTAGTCATCTTGCTACTTCCGTCCCTCTATGGAACACTTGGAAATGGGTGCCAGCCATCCAACAACCTGATAGTTTTGTTACGATTCCCGATTCATTTGACTCTTGATCCCCATTGCTGCTAGGCTGTACTGTATTATGCTCAGATGTGCAAACAGGAAGGAATGCAGTGTCATACCCTTTTCTTAAACTAATTGAAAAGAAAAGGAATCAACATTCATGTCTATGATGACCACAACAGGAAAAGGATATGTGACCTAAGGCTAGTTGTAAGTTGAAACCCTTACGATTTCTTGGCATTAGCAGCATTAATTTGCAGAGACAGTTTTCATACTCTCTGCATGAGTTCTTCATAGTGGTTGGGTACTTGTGCGCTACAGCCAACATGTCCTTGTGTGCTTTCCGATAACATCGTTCGATATCATTTAGCACTTCCAAAGCTTCAATAACTGCTCCATCCAATGCCTCCTCGCTAGCTCCCTGTCACCATTTTCAAAGGCAGAAATAAGGAGCATCAGTGTTCTCTAAGAAAACTCAACCACAAACTGAGCGGCCTCTCTCTTCTATCGTTTGTGAGCTCCTTCTCAAACTTATTGGATCCAGGTAAATTCAGAGTTTTTTTTTTCACTTATCTGATTCCATGAGGATTTGTACCTTGGTCGGTTTATCGGCAGTTCATGGGTGTAGCACACAGCTAGCTACATGGGCTAGCTATCTTAGAGTCTGACCATTTTCAAAGCCAAACATGAGTATCACTTAGAAAATTCACCCAGTAACTGAGCTGTGCGAGGCCACTGCCTTTATGAGCCCCATAAGGCCCCATTTTTGCAGCCCGTCGGCCGCCCTAAGTGAAGGCAGGCTCGACGAGGCCCTCAGGGCCCTTTTCTGGCCACCACACAACTCAAGGAAATTCAGGCAGTTGCGCAGCACCAGTTGGTTGAGTGAACCCAGGCCCTGGGCCGCCTGTGTGAATGTATGTGAAGCAGGCCCTG